ATTCAACCAATAGAGCTCAGTTGGGTTCCTTAGCTGGCGAAAACTGCCGAGTTGAAGCCGGAGCTCTTCTTGCAACTGATGAAGAAGTGGACATTTTGATCATAGATACGGGTGCTGAAGACAAGCAGGATGGCGTCGATGAGGAAGAAGAAGATGAGGAACAGGAAGCAAATGAATTGAGACTTGAAGAAGACATAGTCAGAAATCTGGGAGGCAATTTGGATACAAATGATCAAGCACCAAAACGTCCTTTGTCCAAACGGTTACCAAGGCAAGATGAACCACTCACCCAAGTCAAGTCATTATCTTCTAGTGACTCTCCGAAGAGGGTTTCCGAAGCCCTCGAAATGCCAGAGCAGGAGACCATTGAAGATAAGCCAGTAGTCGCTATCATAGCTGAGGCAAGCCAGGTGGAATCGAAAAAGGCATTAAAGAAAAAAACAACTACGAAACAATGTGAATCCAGTAGGCCAAGAAGAGCTGCATGCAAGGATGTAAATCTTGATTTGCCGTCAGATCGGAGCGAGCGGCGTTCTTCTGAAGGCATATCTACCACTCAACTCAACTCAATGTTACGCCCCTGGTTTCCCACCGGTTCATCCGTTGTGCGGCCCGTCAATCCAGCCGTTTACAGACGCTTTATGGAGCAGCGCATGGTTAATGTGGGTCGTACGCATCGAGAACGCCAAGAGCGCATGCGACGCCTCGAGGCAGAAATGTCCAAGGTCGGCTTAGATGAGGCGGCCAGAGCACAAATGCGCTGTCTCCTGCAAAAGAAGGAGTCAAACCACATGCGAATGCAACGTGCTAAAATGGATCAAACTATGTTCAAACGAATAAAACGTCTCGGTAAGCCTAAATATTTGATTTTATAGGCAAATTATGCTGCGCTTTAAGACCAAAAATATATTTTGTTGTGTGAAGTTTGGCTAATTAACTAATACAATGTACAACTTCTGCCTAAAGCCCATCCCTTGGTGCTCATGATACATTCCCGGTTTACTGGCTCATTAAGGTCAACTAAGAGTAAATGAACGTTAAAAGAACTGCAGACGTAGTTAGTAAAGCATAAGCCGGAGACAAGTGATAAATGGAACTGTGAACATTCAAGGTATGATTT